AAGCTTTTCTAGCACAAACCTCATTCATCCTAGCAGATAGTCAGCCAATAACCCAAAGAACACCGGGTGCCCAATCTCTGGCATCAGCGTTAGGAGTCAGGTTTGATGGTGACCTTGAGGTGATGGGTTTGGCGGACTTGGGTCCTTCTGGAAGTCTCCCCAGATAAAACAATGATCTGAATACATCCAGATCCAAACTGGAGCCCCTGTGCCGCATTCCTCCTCTGGCTGGAAGGCAGCCAGGGCTGCTGTTTGCCCATGCCACGTCACGGTCCCACCTCGGCTATCCTGTTTTCTCAGTGCACCAGCTAATTCTTGGCGGCAGAGCACGAGAGCAAACGGAGAGAGGTGCAGAGGAACCCACGCCCGCAGTGCACACAGGCACGGCCAGCCGCCCGCGGAGATTACCACCTCCCCGGCTGGCCCTGCGCTTGGGCAAGTTGCAGATTAACCTCCCGAAAGGTGACAGTAGCTCTTTTGCTCCAAGACAGGAGTCATTTGCCAGTGGAAATCTGGAAGAAACACCCTCCCCGAGGATTTTCCTCCACATTACCCCAAATGTAATTTTGGAAAAGAAAACATGCTGCAGTATATCACTGCAAAGCCTTCAGTAGCAGCCAGAGCTCATGCAGAAAAACCAAGGGAGGTCTGGCGTGGAATGTCCATTTCCATCAGTGTTGTTATATCCCATCATTGTCGTCAGTGCAGTTAACACTCACTGCAGTATTTCTCCTTGCTAGCAGAGACTTAAGAGTGGTGCCTCCCACCTTCAAGGATGGGTTATAGACATTTTAGGACATAGAAGAGGGGTTCAAGATTGGCCAGAAGCCCTGGGAGACCTTGCTGTCATGCTACAAAATGTCATAATCTCTGACCCTCTCTCCTTTTCTTTTGGAGGGGGAGTACTTTTTCCCATAAGTCTGAGAAAACATGAGCCCCATAGCCCCAGTTCACAGCCCAACATAGATAGTTTAAAATGCATTGAGATTGCCAAGCAATAAATTGGAGAAACAGGTATAGGTTTCTTCTGCCTCAATGTTGTAACCCTTTTGCCAGAGAGACTGCTCCTGTCTTAACCTGCTGCAAGCTGTTGTCTCCGGGAAGGGGAACTGCATCTCTAGAACTCTCGCCAAAGCTATTCCAGCTAATATCAGCATTCACCCTTGTGTCCTTGGCTTGCCAAGGCCACTCCTTTCTTCTGAATTGGGAGAAGAGGATTTGGCCCGTCCTACTCCTGCCCGCGCGGGATCCGCCGTTCGCACGGCTCCCTGCACTGCGTTGCCCAAGAGCTGTGCTGAAAGGGCTTGTTTGCAGGATCGAGTCTTCTCTGGATGCTGAGAGCCATTGACCGACACGAGCCGATCAGAGGAGGATGCAACGGCTCCCTACAGCTCAAGACGATTGTGTCTCCATCGGTGCAGCGCAGCCTTGTACCGTGGCACTGCAGCAGGGGAGCACTCCTCGCCCCACTGCCCGGGCACCTTCCCTTGTCCCAAGACATTTCCATTTGCTGCCATTAACCATTAACCAGCACACTCTTACCTGTCAAAGGCAGCTCTGTGCTGCTCGGTCAGCTGGTGCTCGCAGAGCACTGCGCTGTGAAGCCCCAACCTCCACCAGTCCGAGCCTGCCAGGCCAAAGACTAAAGCTGTGTTCATTTTCCCACATCAAAACTCCCCTTGCAGGAGCTGGGGCAAATCCTGAGGCTGGTGCTCAGTCCCTTATGGCTGCCGGTCATCCCTGCCCTGCTCACAGCTTAGGGGTCATGGCTGGCCGAGACGTACTTCTCGAGGGGTCTTTTGCTTCAGTAAGTTATAAGCCCCAACAAGTGAGGTCCTTGCATCTATTACGGTCGATATACATGCATATATATTGCTTTCTCATCTTTTTCCCCATACCCAGGAGTACAGCAGATGGGAGAGCAGTAAATTATAGCCCAATCCTCCTCTATCAAATCTGTAGGGATCTGCCTATAAGAGGCACTATGTAGATTTTCATTTGGACATGATGATTTTGTAGGGCAGAGAAGTGCCTGAGTGAGGCTACATGAGGAATGTGTCGTAAAACGTCACATGCTTTGGTTGTGGGTCAAGGAAAGCTGCCCGAAATGTTCTCAGAAATTCATGCAATGCTTTGGCTGCTACTAGCCAGGACATTTAACCTCACGTAAGTAGCGATGGGTCTTTGCACTGATATCTTGAGTAGCTTGCGGGGATTTTTGCCTCCTTCCCTTGCTTTTCCAAACCGTGAGGCCCCTGCTGTGTTATCTCATCTGCAGGGTTTGGCCCTTCCCTCTTCCTCCCCAAGCTCCATACCCAAAAGCAGAGTGGAAATACCTTTGCAACGTGTCATTTTGCAAATACATCCTTGGCAGAGCCTGTTTCCCCATGCACAATGTTAACCTTGTCCACAGGCATGTGGGATGGGCAAGGCTGAGGCAGATGTGGGCCATTGCACTGCCAAACTTTGCTTTGCACTTCAGGAGAGTCTTCCTCCCAGCAGCTTCTGATTTACCCCAGCATCAGCCTGTGACAATGTCCTCAGTGTCCTAGGCTTCCACTGGGACACTGAAAACAGCCTCATCTGCCATCTGTATGCATGAAAAAAAATTAAACCACAAAGTCTGTGAGCTCTGGGAATACCAAGTCAAGGCTTAGGACCAGAATATGAGTGCATCAGGTCATGCACATGAGAAAAATAGCTGGAACAGGAACATCTCAGATCATGTTTCAATTATGAAAGTCAGGCTATTCTATTTTCCACCAGTACTGAGTTAAACTGCTCGGAAATAATGTTTTCTGCTCTGTAACCCCATGGCATGGCCACAATTAGCAGGAAGCAAAAGTGCCTACAGCTCAGCACTAAATGAGCCCATGTTTTATAACCAACATTTTGTTTTCTCTTCGCATTGACTATTCTAAACTGCTTTACATGTATTGCTACGGATTTGGGCTCCTTAAAAGCTCAACAGGATTGTTTACTATTTTTCCACTGTGGCAATGGAAAGGAGTGGGTTCAGGCAGCCCAAACATCACCTGTGCATGAGCCCGATGTGCATTACCCAAAGCCGTGGGTATAGGAATGACATGCTTCATCCCAGAGCTCAAATTTGTGTAGCTGCAGCCATGGAAACGGGTTGGTTTACATCAGCATATATCAGCACTCAAAAGGACCCAGACACACAGCAGCTATTAATGATTTCACGTGGCAAAAGGGGAACCGGAGCATGACGGACTTTGGTGCCGATCCTCTGAGATCTCCAGGTATCTTCACCCCATCTTCTAACACCTCCCACCAGAGCTGCCACTGCACGACCCTCACCGCTGGGCCAGCAGTGGGCTGGAGATTGGCTCCAAAGATAAAAGTAGACCCTGGCACAGGTCCCCGTCTTCTGTGGACTGGAGGAAGACACAAAAGATGGTTCCTCTGTTCCCTGCAACAGAGGAAGACAGTGAGCATGATGAAATGAAAAGAATGAAAAATGAAAGGCAAAGGCTGTTACGGGTTTTATGAGCTGCAGCCTGCTGATATTAAGGGATAAATTGCTTGCTAAGAGTCAGTTTTGCATCTTCAACCATGAAACTAAGATCTCTGAAGTGTTCCTCTCGGGTATGGGCACGCCCAGGCCAAACGAGCAGGTTCATCTTGCGCCCTGAGTTGCAGCTATCTGTGATTAGTGGTACAGCGGTCTAATGTCACAGGTATTTTGGGTGCTCTTCCCATTACAGGTCCCTTAGGTCTAAGAGCGGTCAGCAGATGACATCTGTGGAAACTGTTGGCTTAAACCCATTCTGACACCTGGTTTAGCTGATGAGCTCATCCATATCTATTTTCAGTTTGTGTGGGTTAATCAAAAAAATTAAGGAAATGGCAAAAGAAGCTTGATGTGTAGGAAGGGAAGGACGTGGATGGTTCCCAGTCCAGAAAGGTTGTGTAGTCTCCATCCTTGGAGATATTCAACGCACAGCTGGACACAGTCCTGGCTCCCCCAAAAGCAGAGCCACTGGCTGATGATGGGGTACGGAGTGGTGCCTCCATCCCTCTCAAGTGAGGGATGTTCCCTCCACCAGCAGCGAGCAGCACCATGCAGATGCCAGAAAAAAGCAGCTGGGAATGAGAGGAGATGGTTTGTCTTCAGGTCATCCACAGCCAGTGGCATCAGGGCAGCTTTTGGAGGGGGTGGCTGCGTATTATGGCCACCCTTTACAGATACTTTTTTCTTAATGGTAGCGCAACGATGATCCGCAGACACGGCTTTCTGCTGCAGAAGGTGGCTACAGCAAACACCGCCAGCTTCGCTGGGGTTTTCTGGTTTATCATTACATTTCTGCTGGGAGGGCAGCCCGGTTGCACGCTCCAATGCTCTGTTACGTCCCCATTTCACCCAGTAACCTTCATGGCAATCCTCCTCACCCCTGCTCACCATCACCCTGGGCTGCAACGCACCCAGGGCTCCAGCCTGCGAGCACAGGGAGACCCGGCTCGGCCTCGCCGGGAGCGCAGGAGCAGGCTGTCTGCCCCGAGAACCTCTCCCCTTGGACCAACCGTGCCAAAATTTGGGACAGTCCGAGTCAGGGACTGGAGCTGTCACTCTTGGGCCCAAGCATTAACGTGGCGCTGAGCAGCACCGCACCTCGCTTTGTCCAGCAGAGACAGAGAAAAGGGGGAAAAAAGTCCTCCCCTGCCCTTCTAAATCTGGACAAAACAGGTTTCTAATTAAAGCAGCGCTTAATCATTATTGGCCGGCGAATGCAGGGCTGGTGGATATTTGATGCAAACAGTGAGTTGGTTGAAACTCTCTCACACCGGCTCCCTCTTTGTCCCTCCGTGAGCCTGGGAATGGGTGTGATCTCCGAGTAGGAGTGTCTCTGCAGTTAAGTAGAGGATTGAATTACTGAACGCTGCTGTTCCCGAGCTGACAAGGTAGCAGAACAGCAAACAAAAGTGCCTCGAAACTAGCTGGCGAAAGAGGAAAGTGCTGGCTTCGGAGGAGAAGGGAGACCTGTGAGGACGCCGCGTGCTTTCCAGCAAGGTAAGCAGCTTCCCTGCACCCCTCTTAGTTCTATTTCTAAAGGCCAGAACTGTTTGATGACTTTTGCTCTGTGGGATAGTAAGAAACACCCCAAAAAAAATTTAATGGAGTTCATATTTTTTTAAAAATCGCTCAGCTGGTGTAAGCCGGGATGTCTTTACTGAAAGCAATGAGCCCATCCTGATTAGCACCGGTTGGGGTTGGAACACGCAGCTATCTCAGCTCCCTGAGAACCCGGCCAGGCTACGTATCAGCTCCGAGGACACATGCTTTTCGTTTAGCTCTCTGCACATACTGGCTTTGATTTCACGCAATGAGCAATTAATGGCTTTTTGTTTTGGCCTGGTTTGTTTTATGCTTTGCTGCTGTGGGGATTTGCTTAAAGCTCGCCTGCCTTTGCAGCGTGGTTACAGGTCCAGGCAGTGACAAAAAGTCGCTGTAAGTTCTCATCGATAGGTCTTGTTGTCGTCTCGTCCATAGATCTGCTAATGGCTGAACTGCTGGGCTGTTTTGCTCTGTAACTACAGAGTTTTTTCTCATCCTGTTCATTTGAGATGCAAATTGTGCTGAGATAAAATTGAGTTGTAATGGAGTTGAGCTGCAGGCTTACTTGCCAGTATTTTTCTTAGGCGTGCCTATTAAGAACATAAATATTTAACACAAAGGAGAACCGATATGAATTAGCATCTGTGGGAGGTTCGCACTTATTCAAGGCTACCCTAGCATAGATGTAAACAAATGTTATAACAGCTGAAGCAAAGTGGCCTCACCAGAGCAGCGCTTAGACCGTGAATCATCCAGGTGCTCTTCACACACCGCTGCTAAATGGGCAGATTAGAGCCTGCAAAATAGAGATTAGGCAATCACAGAGCATCGGCCTTCCTTTTCGGTGGAGTTTTACTATTCCCTGCCACGCGGGCTGAGATGCCGGGTCGAAGCAAATGGGAGGACGGGCACTAGCCAATGCAGTGCAGATGAGGAAAGCCGTGACCATCTTCCCTCGCCTTTCTCCTTAGCAGAGTGAGGTGAGCCTCCCCTCTCCTCCTCCCTGTACAAACAGGCTGCCCTCTTCCTCCTCCAGCTCCCTTCCCACCGGCAGACACGTAGGTCTCATGACGTTATTTCCCAGGCAGGACTTTGTGGCAACAGTTGCCAAGGTCTCCCAGCTGGGAGCAAAGGTTTCGTGCCATGGCCACAAACGGTGTCAACCTGGTCTCCTGCCTCCCCCTGTATCTTGGGGCCCCTGGTTAGGTTGAGACAATAAATTCCTGCTCTTGCATGGCCAGGGATGCTGAAGATGCTCACGGTGTCTCCTGATCTTTTCCATGGAGCTGCACAAGTTTTTCTGGGCTTTGAGCATTGAGGTTGCTACCTCTTCTGCTCTGGACCCCTCTGGGGAGGTGTGGGACGTGTGACATGGAGGAGATGCACCATGGACTCTGTGACTTCAGGCTGGATCTGTCCTGCAGCCCAGTCCTCCAGCACCAGCCATGCTGTGGTCATTTGACCCCAGCCAAGGAGGACACCGGCTCAGACACCTGCCCCGTGCTTGGAAGATGCTGGGGCTCTGCTCTGTGCCGGGCACGTCCTGCTGGACCAAAAGCTTTCCCTCAATTTTAAAAGAGCTAAATACATGGTAGCCCACGTGCAAGCAGAGCCCTGAAATGCCCTGTGCAGTGAAGGGGAGCTCGGGGCACAATTAAAACCTTTGTGCTACCTGGCCCAGCTGCATTTTAGCCAGCCCTGGGGAACACACGTGCCACCACCGCTCCTCCTCAAGGTCCCTCCTTCGTCACAAGGGATGGGCTCTTCGGCAGCCTTCCGAAATTCGCTCTGGACTGACACAAATCCACAGGTTGGGCTTTCTATGTATGAAATGTCCAACTGCACAAGGAAGGACTCCAGTGTGGACGCATCACACCCAAAATATCTCTGCTCTAGCTCTTTGTTTATCCACCTATGTTCTTCAGCTTGTGTTGGCCCCTCGGAGAAACAGATCGTGCAGTCACAAGGGGATACACGCTCCTGCGACTCATTAAAGCCTCTCTTCTCGTGCTCTCCCTTTCCACATAATACAACCCTGGAAATGGGCCTAATTATGATTTATCCTGGATGAGTATACATTTCCACTGTCTTTCCACTCATTCTGGGTGTAAAAGGAATGCAGGAAGGGGTGAATATTGTTGCTAAGTCTTTGGCATCCTTCAGTCCAAAAAGTCCTCTGAGATCTATGTTAATTTCTGACATCGGATAGTGTGCTTTTGCTTCAGTTGCCTTGATTTCCAAGGACCTCTGCTTGAAAAAGAAATCCTACCATTTGTTATCCATCTTTAGCTGAGCCTATTCATGCTTATCTCAGGCAGTGCTAGGCAGAGTAACAGTGAAACTTGTTATTACCTTATATCCACGTCAAAGACAGGAGACATAGGGGATGCTAAATTGCATGGTTGAGCTCCATCCTGGGTGGTTCCTGTGGAATGAGCTATTCAGAGCGGCTGACCTCTCCTACCTAAAAATGTCCTATTGCCATGCCCCGGGATGAAAGAATAGGTTTCTGGCTGGCCCTCTATTTAAAACTGCTCTTACAAAACAGGATAAGAAACAGGCAGGGCTAGAAATCATATTCTTTCTGGGTGATAGAGACTATCAAGATACCCACCTTCCCTTTGGGAGGGTGCTAGAGCCTGAACTACTGTACTCTGTTGCTGTTTACAAAATAGCTGCCTGGGTTTGAGCAAATCCCACCCATCCCAGTCTTTCAGATGCCTCGTTCCCTTCCCTGCGCTCAGACAAAACTCCCATTGGCAGCTCTGGGTGCAAAAGGCAGTCCTGGATGAATGACTCTTTCTAAAGCTGTTTTCAGTATTTGCAGGGATGTTTTATTCATTTGGCTTTATGCAGTTGATGTGCTACTCTCTCAAAGCTGGCCTTCATTTCTGCCAAGAGGGGATTGCCCACCACTCCCGCGCTCGCGTGCCGTGCTCCTGCGTGGGCTGGGTTTCGCTTTTTTATGCCAAGCAAGTGCCAGATGCACGGCCCCGTGGGCTGGGGCTTTGCTCCTTGCCATGCCGTGTTGGCAGAGAGCTGTGCTTAGGCAGGCAGGAGCCCCAGAGCTGGGCAGCGCGGGGTTTAGCTCACAGAATCACGATGCACCAACACCATCTATCACACAGCACGCGATAGCACAGGGGCAAAGTTATCCCTCCTTATTGCCCCATGTTCCTCTCGGTCCCAGTAATCCACCCCATCTCCATTTGCCCCATTTTCCCCCGAACCCTCTTCCTACCACAACAGAGACTACCCACCAAAAGCCATCTCGGGAAGGAGGCGCAACCACGGGGGTCTCTTGAGGGTGGGATGGTGGGGAGGTGGTTCCTCAAGGAGCAATTGCTTAAAGCGGGGAGATGCAGGTGGAGACTGAGTGGCACCCACAAAGTCACAGGAAGGCCAAGCGTGACCTTGTAGCACACCCTGGGTTGCAAGAGCTGGATGAAACAGTGATAAACACACCACATATGTGGCTCTGAACATCCCTCTGGTTTCACACAAGCCTAGAGAATGATGCTAGTATGGATGACCGGTACCAAAAAGGCAGGTGTTGCTGGTGTTCCCTTGAGAGAAGACCCCGTGAAGGTCTGTCTCCGTTTCAAAGACTTTAAAGCTCATATAAGCTAACTCACACCTTGGCTTAGCACCCCATCCTTAAATGTGGAAGCCTGGGTTGGGTTGGGTTGGCTGGTGCCTGCTTTTTTTGACAGAAGCTAGGTGTTATTCAGCAGAGGTGTGTCAGCCAACATACACAAAGGGCGAGCTTTCCTTTGCAGCTCGAGAAACAAACCTTTCGCCTGAGTAAATCCGTTGCATCTCATCAGGCAAGCGATGGAAAGGCACAGTCACCCACGGAGCACCATGCTTAGGTCCAGGTCATTTCATTTGAAATCTGAAAGGTAAACCTGTTTTTTTCCCAACAGTCCTCGGTTTCTCTTCCCAAGTTTGATGTGATGCTTGCAGGTGTGAACTAAAGCAAAACTGGACTGGTCCCTTCCTTTTGATAGTTAATATTAATCTTGCCGCTTTCCACTGGAAAGCCAGTGCTCTGGGAACCAGTTCTCCAGGCAGTCTGAGTGGAGCCAGACCAGCACCCCTGCTCCATCACCATCAAAGGTGCTGATAGCAAGGGCTTATTCAACTGCACTAGTTAAACTGTGCACCACGGAAAACCTGCTCTTTATCTTGCACACATACATGTATGCACATATATGCACGTGCACAGTCTTGCAATAAATATAAAGCTGTTATATGCAGCAGCAAAAATCATAACTCTTAGACTTGGGTTTTTGAGAAGGATGGGCCAGGTGGGCACTGGTACTTGGGTTTTATTTACAGTATTTGGGTCGGTTCACACTGACAGATCTGGCAAGCAGAGTCTCAGGGCACGGTGGATGGGACGGAGCTCCCATGCTCTAAGAGAGGTGAAGGGCAGCGTGGCCAGCTGGGCTCTCCACTCGGCGGTTTTCCCCGTAGGCCAAGGGGACAGTAAGTCCCTTCTGACCAAGATTCACTGGAGCTGCCCTAGACCCAGTGTCAGGATGAGAGGAACCACCCACAGAGAGTTCTCCTCAGACTTAAGCACCCAAAACACAGACATCCAGTGAGGGTGGATGAATCCCAGCCTCTAACCCCCGCTCCTCACCTTCCTCCAGGCAATTTTAACCCTGCATAGGACACGGTGGCCTTTCCTCAGTTTCAGCTGGGAAAGTGCCTTCTTTTGAGGGTCTCTCCTGATCTTCCAGCTGTCATACCCTTCCCATAAACTTTTGAAGTGCAGCTGCTCCCCAGGGCTCAGGGAGGTCTTGCACAGGTGACCAAACACATGCTCTCTTCTCTTTGATGTCTCAGCTCTGGTTTTACTTACCTGCAGTCATTAGGTTAAATAATGCTCTGTTAAAATGCTGCTGCGGGAGAGGATCGTCACTTTTTTCTCGGAGGTGGTGAGTAAT